ACAAAATAAAAAAATGAGGGTAATAAAAATGTGAATATTTAATGAAACTCTCTACTGGGGGATAGAATAAGGGATAGTTGATTAAGATGGTTTAAGCACATCCATAAAAGACCATCTAGCTACAATAATAGTGTGATCGAAGTCATCTGTTTTGTGGGCTGAAGTAGTGAGAAATGATTTAAGGATCCATAATTTTAAATGTATATGATACTGAGAAGAATGTGATGCTTGAGAAGGATTTACTTGGCAACCCTATATGAATGGGGCAAGGCTTACGTGATGATGATGATGATGATGATGATGATAATGATGATGATGATGATGATGATTATGATGGTGATGCAATAATTAATTAGCAAAAAATAGAATTGTTGATTTAGTAATTAAAACATATAATAGTTCTAACTACATTAATATCTAACATATTTTTTATTAGCTATGAGGTTGTATACTATTAACTAACTATTTAACTTAAATTGATAATAACATATTAATGGTTTTATACATGTAATAATTGGTAAGATGCTACATTTTGGCTGCAACTTGGGATGGGTTAGCCCCAACCCAACCCTGAACCCAGCCTGAAAAAGGTGTGTTGTATTGAAGTTTGGGTTAGGGTTGAAAACTATGAGCCTGACTTAATTAACATTGGATTGGGCTGGGGTTGAGGCATTGGCCAACCTGACCCAACCTGAACTTGAATGCAGATTTATAGGTATAAATATTATATAAACATGTATTTATATATGTAAATACTTATGTATTTATGTATTATTTTTATTGCAAGTATTTGTTCGTTTATATATTGATATATCTACCTATTTTGTATGTCAAAATTGTGAAGTTTAAAGGCAAAAGTTTTCTAAAACGTGATAACTAAGTTCTTTTAGACATAATAATGCAAAACTGAATTAATCTGAACTTTTCTAGGAAATAAGAACATTTGACAAAAGGAAGTAGTTAGGAATAGAAACGGGGTGGGGACCATACCCCCCATCCCTGACCCCGACTTTGAAACAATTCCCTGATCCCTGGCAGGGATAAAAATGACTCTATCCCCGATCCCTAATGGGGATGGATTCCCGTTGGGAACCTGAATCATGAAATATTTAAATTAAAACTAATTTTAGAATATATATATATATATATGTTTAAATATTTCATGATTCACTCCCCATTACCTCTCCAATCCCTGCCCTGGCAATCTCCATCCCTGAGCCCATCAGTATAAGGAAAATTGTCATCCCTAGAAGTAGTGAAGTCACGCCAACCCAAACCCAACCTTAAGTTTTAGGGTTGGGTTAGGGTTGACCTCAACTCAACCTAAGTGGGCCCAACTTGTACCCCTATATGGTATGTGTATTGTACTCTTGGTTAGTGCATCATTAATAGTCATTGGATTGTATGTAATGTGCTAGTATATTAATTGTAATGTATTTCGTATGTGTTTCTTATGTGTTTTTCCCCATTTATCACCGGTCGTTTTTGGTTAGATGGGGCTATACAACCACGGGGAGTAGCCCACCTTCTATGCTCATAACCCCCAACCCTGGTGAAGGTGGGATTTGATCCCAAGTATCCACTACAACCAGCTAGATACCTTATAATTGAGAAAACACCTTCCATTCATAGTTATTTCAACCTTAGATACTATTAATGCATATGAGATTTGTGAAAGCTTTCTTAATGTTTAAATATTCATTCAGACCATTCCACCATATCCATGCATATCCAATGTGTATCCATTTCTGCTTTACTAATACATTTTTCCATATTGTTATTTTGAATCTTGGTGATTGCCATGGTGCTTTTTGCTTATTGTTCACAATGTTTTTAAGGGAGAATTATTGTGTGTGTGGGGGGGGGATTTATTAGAAGGAAGTGGAAAATGACAGTTTTAAACTTAACATCCCTTCAAACAAATTTAATCTACAGAAAACAAAATGGAAATGTCATTATTGTCCGTAGTAAAATACGGGCAACAACTTTATTCGATAAAACTTGTTGTTTATTTGAAGAAGGAAGACACACCATTACTACCCTAGATGCCATTGTTTTCTCTCCATCATTCTATTGAAGCCTAATATTTTTTAATAGATCTTAAAATCAAACCTTGTTTCTTTCTAGAATCTTGATATGAAGTTTTAGGGGTACTTTTGGAACAAAAAACATGGGCTCATGCCCTTAGACATTTTTCACTATTTTTATATGGTCATGTTACCATTTTTAGATAGAAATACAAAGGATTCTTGATAGAAGATCGATTATTGCAAACTATAAGGGGTGTTTTTGTAGAACATAAACTATAGGATAAGTTTTAGTAAATCCATTAAACTACAATGGGTATTTTAGTAAATGACCCTAATAAAAATAATATAGTTCAAAACTTATATTACCTTTATTGAATCGAGTAATTTAATTTGTAGATTATCATAATATATTAATATATTTCAAAACTTATCATTTATAATTTATAGACATATCACATTTTAAATTGAAGGAAAATGATCAAATCGCTTAAGTGACTTGATGGTCAAATGAGACCATGGTCTTTGTAACCATGAGTGCTTAGGTTCAAATCTTCACATCCTCAAATTTTCTTGGGATTTTTTTCTAAGGCAAGTTATGTTCTAAGGCCAATTCCACCAAGGTCAACCAAGGCCAGTTCTTTGGGTTGGTTTGGGTAAAGTATACCCTTAGACCTTGGAACCGGCCTAGGTGGGGTTGATCCTAGAATTTGGAACTAGAACCTACCCGGTAATAGGTTGGTCAGGGTTAGTTCAAGGCCCTAGTTTGAGGTCAATTCCATTTGGTTTTGAGTAGAACCTACCCATTTATTCATCCCTAGTGGAAGCAAAATCAGTTATGCTCCCAACACAATTTGGCCAAGCAACCCATTGGGGGATTTGGCAAGCAAGGACATGAGGCTAGACTACATAAGTGAAATTCTAAGTGAGGGGTGAACAAGGTTCTAAATATCGATACACCTGATATGCTAGTAGGGGCGTACCGTGCAGTATCGATACTGTTTTTTATTATTTTTTAAATTTTTTTCAAATCCGGTTCGGGGGGACCGGTTTAAGGTTCCTCCACCCCCTGAACTGGGTCAAAACTCCGATACACCCTCTGTAGGGGCGTATCGGGGTGCTCCCGATATGATACATATCAGTCGATACAAGCTGATACGTAACGATTTTTTGAACATTGGGGGTGAAGAGTTTCTAGTCTAGACTTAGGTGAGGAAAGTTCATATATATCCGAGGATCACAGTACCTAGGGTGCAAGTTGGGTCTTTGAGGTCGTGGGTGAGCAAGATCATAACAAGGTACAAGGAACTTGATCATGGAGTGGGTGAGGCCACGACAAGGTTGTGAGGGGCAAGGTCACGGGAAGGTGCAAGAAGAGTAGTCGCAAGGTGGGCAAGACCCTAGCAAGGTTGTGAGGGGCTAGGTCACGACAAGATTAAAGAAAAGCATGAGGGGGGAGATTGTGAGGTGGGCAAGCCCACGACAAGGTTGGAAAGGCTGTGGCAAGGTTGCGAAGCTTTGGATTGGCATAATGGGCTAGGTTGTGGCGAGGCTAAGTTTGAGGTCATGGGGTAAGGGTGCTAAATTGAGGTACGAGGAGAAGCTAAATTATGAAATGGGCAATGTGGGGCGAGGTTGGCAAGACTACGATGAGGTTGCAAGGTTTTGGATTAACGAGGTTGCAGCAAAGATCATGTGGAGGGTAAGTGTAGGTGGAGATGTTTGAGCAAGGAAGGCTAGTTGCATGGTAGGCTCCATGATCGCGGATGCAAGGTTCAAAGTATCGATACTGGCGGACATTAGTACTCTTTTATTGTTTTTTTTTTTTTTTTTTTCAAATATGGCTCAGAGGGGCCAGTTTAAGGCTGGTCTACCCCCTGAATCACTTGCCAACCCGAAACACCCCCTGGAGGGGCATATCAGGAAGGCTCCAATATGATACATATCGACCAATACGGGCCAATATAAATCGATACTTTGAACCTTGTGGATGGCAATGCGAGTTTTGGGAGTCCATGTTTGAAGTTTTGGAAGTTAGGGGGGTGATTAGTTTCGCAATAAGGTTGATGTGCAATAAACTTAAGGGTTGGGTGCTTTGGCTTAAATGCAACGAGATGTTGTGAGGCAAGGGGGAATTGAGTGCGATGAGTAGTCTGTGAGGTTGTGATGGGTAGAGAACCATGGGTTTCAAGGCAAAGGATTGATAGGTAAGGACAAGGTTGGACTTCAACTAATGTTTCATCGCTTAAACTTTGAGATATCTAAGGCTCTGTGAGTTTGTTGGCTCAGTTAAGGAACGATCTTAGGTTGGCCCTAAGGGGTGAACTAAGGTGAATGTTGGTTTGTGAAATCAGTTCAAAAAGTTAAGTGAATTCAAGTTGGCTTGCTTGAGGTCAAGGACTCGAGGCTGCAGGGTTTTGGATTGGTGAATTCTATTCCACTACCGGATTGAATTAGAATACCATAGTTTTGAAATTCACGGAAGCGGTTCTATTGAGCATGGTTTTCAAAACCGGACCAGATCAGACGGTTGGACCAGAAAAACCGGGAACCGATCACCTGACTGATTCTGTTTTTCCCCAAAACCATTGATTTTGGTCAGCAAACCACTGAACCGGCCGGTTAACAATTCGAACATTTTTTACCATTTTCCAATTTTTTGTTTTTTTTGTTAGAACGGGCCGACCGTTCGGGTTGAATGGTCAGACCATTCGAACCGGTAACCGGACTCCTGACCGGTTCGTTTTTAAAAACCATGCTATTGAGTATTGACTCCAATTTCCATGCCCATTCCCATCAAAACCCTAATTCAAATATGGTTTTTAATGAATATGAGAACACTTAAAATTGTGAAGAATGAACAGTTTCTGAAAAATTCCTTCTGTTTAAAATTATGCACTTAAAATTCTGAAATTGCAAACCATTTAAAATGTCCTAAACATTGAAAATACAACCTTTTTAGCTTAAGGAAAATGTTAATAAGAACCACTTAATTGTGGCTTTTTCTTGCTTAAAAAGAAATTGTGTATTTACAAGGGGAGTCTACAAATAAAGTTATACATTAGAAAATAACTGACATAACAATACCCAAAACTCGCTAAGCCCTCAAAATTTAGGTAAGTGTACCTTAGATGATGCCATGACTTCTGTTCAAAGTTCGAACAAATACAAAGGACTAACTGCAATCCCATAAAATATCTTCCACCAAAATTTCAACTCTTCTTTTATTGCTTGAGGCTCCTTCTTGAACGGTAAACCATGTGAGACAGGCCAAAGAGTTTCTCTGTGATAAAAGTACCTGATTGGCACCAAATACTAACTCGACATGGTAAAATGGGGTATGAGAATGCCAACATGGCACTATGACATTAAATTTCATTAATTACAACTTGATATCATGCTCAATGGTTGCTGGCATATTCAAAATCTCAGGGACTTTGCTGATTTGATCTGCAATTACTCACATGAAGAGGAAACAAAGGACTCCTTGGGGCAAATTGGAGGCAAACCCAGTAAAAGCCTTGGTGAAACCTATTCTGAAACCAAAACTGTTGATTCAAGGAACGCTAGACGGTTCTTGGTTAGATTTAACTTCTCCTCTACTTCAACTGCCTTCTCTCTAACCCCACGAACAATATCCTCAGGAGCCTTCTCTACAAACTACAAGCAGAAGTACAATATGCACATATCATGAGGTACAGTACTTATGAATACACTAAAACTTGTAATACAAGAACTTGCATACATGCATGCCGTATGACTTAAGCAAGAGGATTCATTACTGACAGATAGTGAATCTTGGTATTATTTGGAAAGTTGTATAAACATGAAAGGACTCAGATTCGTTCACATAGAAGAAATGTAAGCAAAACTTCGATAACAATCTGATTGGTAGACTTCTTTCTAAATAAGTTTCACCATAATTTCTTTTTTCTTTTTTTTTTTTTTATGGAGATTCACAGGTTTGGCATGTGCAAACAAATAACAAGATACCGGAGAAGAATAATTTATTAAGTTGAAGGTTGATGGCAAGGAAAAAGTGCAGTAGAAGATATGGTAGAAGAAGGGAGCAGGACACCTCTAAACTTTGTTCTAATATATAGGCAGATAAGAATGTCAAGGGGGAGAAGGTGTTCCTTGATTATATAAATGCATGTGCATAAATTCATTTTTACGTATAAATGGCATAGATTATGTCGAGACCTTTTCTCTAGTTGCTAAGTTGGCTTCAATGTGTATGACTATTAGCTAGATGTGAAAAATGCCTTTCTTCATGGTAACTCACAAGAGATTTACATGGAACAACCCCCTAGATTTGTTGTTTAGGAGGAGCGTAGGCTCCTTAATGGCTGAAACTGAAGTTGGGTAGATCACCACACCCTTGGGAATTTTATTATTTAATTTAACAACTAAAAGGCAGAGAAATAAGTCTTTCAGTTCAGCAACTTCAGCTATTATCAAACAATCCCTTAGTGTTTTGCAGAATGACCGTGATGATTGGTTAGGTGATGATAAACAAGTTACATTATCATCAGAAATGATGATAAACACATTATTGAGAAGTGTGCCGATCATCTATGGATGATTGGTTAGATTGAAGTGTGCCAATCATCTATGGATGTTAGACTGTCACAATGAAAGTATGTTCCTCACTTATCTTACTCTTAATAACTTATCATGACATCATATATAATAGTAAGACTAGTTGTCTTTCATGTAAGTATTCTAGGTTCAAATTAGTGGGTGTTATGGCTAGAGTTAATTAAATCTTGGAATTAATTACAGTAGTTAATTATGGGTTAATGCATTATTTGAATTCCAATGGAGGGACAAGGAGAATTAACGTGAAAATGGAAGTTAAGACTCAAATACAGAATTGAGAATTCAGAGGGAATAGAAACAATAGAGAACTGCATTGGGAGAGAGAGCAGTTCAAAGAAAGGGTTGAGTGGGGAGAGAATATGATCAGGGAGAGAGTGTAGAGGGAGAGAGACTTGTAATCTCATTCTTGTAGCCAATCCAATGGGTTCCCACAACCAAACTCAACCAAACCAATTTAAATCTACCTAATGGGTGATTCAACACATTTCAACCCACTGAGTAAATGGGTGAGTTTGGGCAGATTATAAATGGGATGGTATGGTTCACATGGGTTGGGCCAAAAATTGCCAGCCCTATTTTATACCTATAGATACAAGGAGAAGTTAGTTGTAGAACAAGGAGAAATTATTGATGACTCAGTAGATATTATAGGCATTTAGTTGGAAACAAACTACCTTAGTACCTTACTATTACTCAACTTGACATCTCTTTGGAAGCAGTTTACCTCATATTAAAGTATCTGAAAGGGTCAGTAGGTTGTGGATTCTTGTATAATGATCATGGGAATCTAAATATTTTAGGGTTTACTGATGCTGATTCGGTTGGCTCACCTTCAAATAGGTGATCTACCACAGAATATTATATTTTTCTAGGGTGTAATTTGGACTGTGTTTGGAATGGATTTAGAGAACTATTTTTGATTAATCTTGTGATTCTATGAATTACTTTCAAGTTGGATTTATGAAAATTGTTGGAACTGACATTCTTTTTCCATGTTCAAAACTCATTCTACAAAATAGTTCTTTTAAAAAATTTACTTCAAAAAGAATCATTTTTGGCTCAAAACTTGTTCTACAAATAATGATTTTTTGGAGTACAATTTTCACCAAACATAGCATTAGTTACCTAGAAGAGTAACAAGCACAGTGTAGTAGAAAGGTTGTGCTATGGTTCATACCACATTTGAGTTGACATGGATGAAGACCTTATAATAATTGAGGATGCTCTAACACTGACCATGGATATATATAACGACAATTATATTGCTATCCACATTGCCTTGAATCTAGTATTTCATTAAAGGGCAAAGTATATCATAATTGATTTCATCTTATTTAGGAAAGGCTATTGAGTAAGGACATTTCTACACCTTATGTTAAGTTTGGAAATCAACTTTCTGATTTGTTCACAAAAGCCTTTAATTGGCCTGAAGTTGGGGCTATATGATATACACTATCCATCTTGAAGGGAATGTTCAAGAGAGAAGAGTATAGTTATGTCTATGACATGTGAGTAGGGGTCTTTTTGGCATTGTTATTTTAATACTAATCAAGGGATCAGAAATCTTTTTCTCTTATTTAAGTGTCATCTCTCACAATCTCCTTTTTTCAACTTCTCTCTAATTTCTGCTCTTTCACTACCACTTTTTCCTCTTTTTATTTCCATCGCATGTCAGATTATCAAGTCACAATAATATTTTGTATGTATTTTATCAATCATAGGGCTGCAACGGGTGGGTCTTGGTTTGGACAGGGTAGAACCAGGAACCAACCCGACAAGAAATATTAAGGAGCTGGAACAAACCAGACCTTATAGGGTCTCAGGTCGGGTCTGGGTAGAACTGGTTCTGAACTGAGAATAATTGGGACAATAGAGCAGGAATTGGAACTGAGCCATCAGTACAGATCCTGGAACCAGAACTGGCCCAATCGGTTTGGGTCCGTCAGGTCAGACCTGATCCATTGGCAGCCATAATCATCATACATGTAAAGGTAACTAATACTTATACATCTGCACAAAGGAGCATGAATGTAAATAGGTGATGAGGATGGGTAAATATGTACACTAGGAGAACTGAGGCGAGCAATGAGTGAATTATACTCCACTTGCATCTTTGAAAGTCGCTTAGAAAGGCGCTGGACTTCAGCAGAGATATCTACCATATCAGAAAGAGGAAGATAAGCCTCTAATCCTTCACCAGCCACAAGGTGAACTGATTGTTTTGCATAACCTGAAACATTGTCAGTGAAGAAAACAATAATTCATCATCACCTTGTGATTGGTTGGGTAGTATGATATTACCTGAAAACAAGAGCCATCCAGAGGATAATGCAAAACAAATTGCACAACAACTTTATCTTTAGCCAAAAGAATTTATAACTAATAAAGAGAAAAAGAAACATGCCTGGAGGAGAATCTGTAAAATGGACATGCTGCAGATCTAATCTAGACAGTAGTGCAAGAACCTCCCTTTCCTTCTGCATAGTGTAAATAAGACAAGTAAATATAATGACATAACAGTAAAGAGATCTATATACACACATTTAGGAAGAAAATTCTTGTAATAGGGTCGTAAGGGATGGGGGGGTTCCCTATTTGACTCTACCTTTGCTATGTTGAGAAATTTTGTGGATATCTGGAATGCCTATTAGATAGAGGACCCTCTGGATCAGCCATTTCTTCATTTCCCAGGTCCACCTTAGCACCATACTCCACCATGTACAGGAATTTAGTCCTATTAATATTAGTTGTTCAGAGTTTAGTTGTATTCTTTAATTCAACTGCTGCCTGTAAAGTATGATTTATGGTGAACACATGACAAGGGCAAGGTCTTTTAGCTGGAATTACTCTGTTGTTAAAGGACACAAAAGAGGAGCATGACATCTTTTGGTCTCTGTAGAGAAGATGGGCCGAATGGCCCATAGGCTGTTATTCTTTCTTACTGTTTATGTTCCTTTCTGTAATGGGCCTTATTCTGGGCCCATCCTCTTCTATGTTATGTTCTTGTAATTTCTTGCCCAACCAAGGGCCCCCCCTTGTAATTATTCAAAACTAACTTCATGAAATAGTGTTAGGGTGTTAGGGAGAGAGAAGTTCGAACCTCTCATACTCTAACCCTCTTTGTTGCTATCTCCCTCTTCATCTTCTACTCAATAGAAGCAATCTTCTCTGCAGTTTTTTATTCCTTTTGATTTCTACATCTATTCTAAACAGTCCCACACTCTCAAGGACTGTTTTTCTTCTTGGTATCAGAGCAGGCCTGGACTTGGCTTGGCTCTCATGTGGGTGTAGTCCAGCCGACTGCATGAGGGTGTTCTAGGGCTGGAAGCTTCAGCTTGTTCGCCTGATTCTTGGAGGTCATTGGAGGGTGCCCAAGACTCTAATCTCTTGGAGAGTGGTTCGGTGACCAGGAAGAATCAGAGAAAAGGACTGTTTGGTTCCTGATTTGGAGCTCAAATCAGAGATTGATGAGATTGTAAGTTGCACTCAGTTATTCTTGAGTTATATTTCTATTTTGGGGACTGTTGAAGTGTTCGAAGTTCCCTTGAAACTGTACAGCTGTTCGGCTGTGGTTAAACTGGTTTAACCCAGAGATTTCTGGGTTGGTTTTCTCCCTTTTTTTGAACTGTTAAGCTACCGAAACCAGTGCGAGTTCTTGCTTCTGTTTGGTTGTTTTTTGGACCTGTACGGACTGCTCCTGAGGTGTTTCTCACTTGTTGACAGTGGGGTCTTCTCTACAGTGTTCGTAAAAAAGGTCCCTTAATCACTACAGACTGTTTTTTGCTCTTTTTAGGGCACTTGTTGGTGAGTACCTAGAATCCCTGATTAGAAAAGGTACTTCAATTGGGTGCACAGTGCTTGGAGGTCTGTTGATT